CAGGCAAGGGACACAAAAGCAACATTAAACTGAGACCACACCAAAATAAAATGCTTTTGCACAGTGAAGGGTACTATTAACAAAACAAAGTGTTGCCGATGCTTTCTGTTCTTTGGATCTTAACTATTAAAGTCAGAAATGCCAGTTTCTATCCCTTCCCCTGGCATCAGTTTTCCATTATTCTATGAATTACCCTTGAGGCTTAGCCTAGAGCCTTCATCCCCAGCTGTTATGACAATTTTTGACAACATGGTTTTCTGCTTCAAACTCCTTTCTGTTTAACAAGCCTTTCCTGCTCTGAACTATGACTGATACAATTGTAGATCAATATAGAAAGACTTCAAGAAAAAGTATTGAGTGAAAATATGAAATGCAGAGGCGCACCTGGGTGGCTCATTGGTTAAATGTCCGACACTTGATTTCAGCTAAGGTCATGATCTCACAGTTTGTGGGTTCAAGCATGTCTCCATGCAGACAGTGTGGAGCCTGTTTGGGATTCTCTCTTCCTCCCTTCTCTCTGCCACTTGCATGCATGTGCTCTCTCTTTCTCTCCCAAACTAAATAAATAAACTTAAAAAAAAGAAAATACAGAATGATAATTCAATATATCATTAATACTTCAAAGGTAGAGTAAATAATACTTCACATTTAAATGGATGCTAATATGTGTACTTAAATTGATGTATTAATTTATGAAATATTATTTTTTTTTCAAATATGCTTATTGAAATGAAATAAAACTTTGTCCTTAATATGATCTGAGTAGAGGAAAAAAGTGAAATTGGCAATAAAAGACAAGCTCCCAGGGAGTCAGGTCAAGTTAATACTGACTAAAAATAAATCGTATCTGTTGGCTTTGTAGGACTTTCCAGGGTGAGATGATGGCTTGATGACAATAAGCACAAAATCCATGAGAACACAAAGGATAAAAATCTCCCAAAGGTGTCAGATAATTTTTAAAGGATGGAAGGGGTTTACCAGAAAAAAAAAATCAGGGAAAGACATTCTAGACAAAGAGTACATCATTTGGAAAGGCCTGGGATAGCACATTTCAGAAATCTCCAGTAACAAGAGATTGGAGAACAGGTTAAATGCAAGGGCCCAATGGGTGATAAAACAGAAATATATGTAACAGCCAGATCCCAACAGTGCATTTCGGCATCATTCCTTTGGACACAATGATTACCTCCATTGAACCAGCCACAGGTCCAGGAACACAGAGATGAAAAAGAGCCCTTGAGAAGCTCATGGTCTAGTAGGATATTCAGATGCATAAATAAAAGTTTTGCATCTTATGGAAAGCATAAGGACCAGATGTACACCTGGGGCAATCTGGAGCACCAGCCGGGGGATGTCAGGAAAAGCTTCCAGGTAAAGTAACACCTGAACTGTGTCTTGAATGAAGAATAGGAAGAGTGAGTCAAGGCTTTTATGGATTCACAAGTCATAATACAGAGTTTAGGTTTTATTCTCTGAGGGTGTTGAGGTTAGGGTGGAGTAGGATGTTAATTAAGGAGGAGAAAGAGATGCTCCTAGACTAATTCTCCCTATTACTAAAACTTTGTCCTTCCTCTGATTGTGGCTTTGTTTGATTCCTCCTAATTCTCTTTTATCAGTGAGCTAGAAGGAAAATGTGAGGACAATCTCCCATTACCCTGGCTAGTAATTCCTCCCTTGCTGAATCACTTTTTCAGAGATAAATGTGACTTAAAGAGTATAAACATAGGCTTTTAAAACCAGAGATGGTTATTTAATTGGATTCTCACATAATACGTACTCCTATATTTAGTGTAAATAAAATTTTTTTACTCAGCCATGTCAACTGTGACAAATTTTAAGTGAAGATAATTAAATTTTTTGAAGAAACAACCTGAGAAAATAAGATAGGATTATTTTATTTCCATAATTAAATGTAATAATTGTAGAGGATACAATATATTGTAATAATAAATAATCGTCTTTTCTGGAATCCTTTAATCACTACAAACTGCAAATCTGAAATGTCCTTGACAAATCATTATGACATGTTTCAAAGATAGCTTCTTCTAGAACTTCCTTTTGCATTAAAATTATGAAAAATGAAAACCAGTATCAAGCCTCATTCACCTCAGTGATGAGCACTGAAGGCACTCAATAAAACATCTGGCACAATGACCTAAAACCTAGTTTGTAATGTCAAGATATAGAAATTGTGCTCCAGTTGCATTATCTGGTGGTTTTTTTTAAAGCATAAATGAAGAATAGGTACATTCAGTGATGTACTGGTAAGTATTTAAACCAGGTGTCAGGGTTAGGGGTTTGGAACTAATTTGTGACATTGGTCAATTTCTATGGTGTAAATACTGACAACATGGACAATTTAGAACTACGCACATTATATCACTGAACATGAATTTGGGAAGGGATGAACAATAGCACTCTATTATATTTATTTTTAACATACAGATACCATAGATGTAAATAACCTCAAGACCCAAAGTACTAGTAAAATGTAGTAACATAATTAGGACATGATGAGTTTTGGGTATTTAGTACTCTTAATTTTCAACTGCAGTGTGTTTCACAACTGGCTAACATAATTCCTGAAATTTTAACATTAAACTCATACATTGGTACAAGCTAGTTTCAGCATACCACTGCTGCACTTTTAAATATTAAACTTCAAAAAGATTTCACAAGTTTACATAGTTGAAAGGAAGCATAAGATTCCACAGGGAACACTTACATAAAGCTTGCATAAGACTTACATTCCATAGGGAATACTTACATAAAAAAAAGCAAAGGATACAGTACATTGAGAGAATACAGGCAAGCATTGGAAGACCAAAAGATATACAGATGTAAATTCCCACTGTCCTTATTCACACATACATATATATTTTGTCTCCAGATCGAACCACCAAACTCTGTTAACATCAAGATCCAGAGGATCTTGCATTGGGAAACAAACTGGCTCAGAGTCTGCAAGGACAGTTTCTGATTTTAAACCTCATGTAAATCTCACACAAATCCTTTGGCCTTATTTTAGCCAAGAGTCAAAACCACATATCCAGGCATTTCCAAAGATAAGGATAGACCTTTCCTAATCCAATTGTAAATTCTACATGAAACCCAATAAGGAAAATTACAAAGGATAGCATTTCAAATATATTCCTACCCAGGATGACTCCAGGACCTTTTCCCTTTTTTAGATGTAGAAGACTCAGGAAATATGAAGAATTCTGTTTTGAAATGCTAATATAAGATGTCTATTAGACCTTCAAGTAGAAATTTTAGGCATGCAACTGAAGATCCAAGGGGAAGTCAGAACTAAAGTTAATACATTTAGAAATTGTCAGCAAGCAGTTAGTATTGAAAATACTGGACTGGATATGATGATGTAGGGTATGAGTGTAAGTGGAGAAGAGGAGAGATCTGAGGATTGAGTCCTGGGGCACACCAATGTTCAGAGCTGGGGAAAAGCTAGTCGAAGTTCTGGCAGTACAAACTGAGAAAGAATAGCTGATGACATAGAAAGATTGCAAAAAAGTACTCTTTTTTTTTTTTCCTGGAATCCAAGTAAAGAGATATTTCATAAATCAGACAGAGAAGGACAAGTACCATATGATTTCACTTATATGTGGAACCTAAAAACAAACAAACCTAAAAAACAAAAACAAACCTAAAAAACAGACTCACAAATACAGAGAACAAACTGGTGGTTGCCAGAGGGGAGGGGCGAAGCAGGGAAGGGGTAGAGTTAATATGTGTCACCTGCCTGAGAAGAGAGTGGGGAGAGAAAAACACCAGCTTGTCACACCTGGCTATGGTTTGGTTTGACATTTGAGTCCTACTTTATAATAAAGAAAGAATGAGAGAGTAACATCACAAACAATTGAAGGAAGGAGTATTTTTTTCTAGACTGTTTTGGCTGCTTTTGAAAACTTTAGCTACTTTTACCTATTTTAGGAAATTACAAAAAGTAAATTATTTGCAGAGACTACAAAATCAGCCCCCATACATTTATTTGCACATACACTATAAAGAGACTTATTATAATAAATGCCACACAGTCACTTGCCCTTGAGGACCTCACATTATTTTTGCTACAAGTGAAGACAAACACATGACAAAAAGAGGAATGAGGAGAATGTTATATAAGTAATTGCAACCTAAAAATCATTTAAAACTTCCAACTAATGTTGCATCTAAATTCTACCACATGAGGGTCACAACTTATAGGAGAGGCTGAAGAGTGACTTTAAGCAAGCAAACTTTCCTCTCTAGTCTTCAGTTTTCTTATCTATAAATTGAGAAACTTTTTCTAGCTCACACATCCCTTCTCCACTCCAAGATTATATGATTATGCAAGGTACGCAAACGATTTCATACATAAATAAGAAATGAATGTGTTATTTATCTGACATATTCCAGTTTAACATATTCCATAATTTACAGAATTAAAAACAATTTATTTGGTAGATCCATCATATATAACAAAATATGTATTTTTCAAAATTCTGATAAATAGGTGTGCCTGGGTGGCTCAGTAGGTTAAATGGCTGACTTCAGCTCAGGACATGATCTCATGGTTCATGAGTTGAAGCCCCATATTGGACTCTGCTGTCAGCACAAAACCCTCTTGAGATCATCTGTCACCCTCTCTCTCTGCCCCTCCCCCGCTCATGCATGGGCGCTCTCTCTCAAAAATAAATAAACATTTAAAAAAATTCTGAAAAATTAATTAAGGCAAATTCTAAATATAATGGTAAGATAAATCTGAACTAGGCTATTAATAAAATATTTTGGCCCTCATTTCTTTTTTTCCCCTATATTCATTAAATATATAAATATATGAATGGATAGCATTTTAGATATTATAAAATATTAAAGAACTTTAGGTATTTGAATGTAAGAAAGTGATTTATATCAACAATCAAAAGTGAAAAAGATTTGAAGCAACGGATAAGAATACCCTGCGGCTAGCTGTCTTTATGGTCCGTTCCAAAGTTACTTTTCTTTCAGAGCCCAGTCTTGGATGTAATCCAATCATGATAAGCAGTGACTGGAGTATAATCACCTGGCTTATTCTTTTTAGCGCATCCATCACCCCAGCTCACTATTCCAACAAGGTGCCAGACTTTTCTAGAGTCAGGGTAAGCTAGCAGTCCACCAGAATCATTCTAGAAGAAGATAGGAAGACATGTTTCTTGTCCTGTCAAAGAATTTCCTTTTACTGCTTCTCTGGACTTATCAGAAGTCCCTGGGTACTGAAAACAGTCCACTTTCTTTTGAGCTTAGAACTGTGGAACTTAGGTTTATTCAAAACCAAGGGTAACTACAAATCACAATATACTGCCTACAGCTGCCATATGTTGGATTGACCAGAATTGAACTTTATAATGAGTTCAGCCTTGACTATGAAGACAAAGTGACTTGGCTGCTTCATCATGAATGAAGCCTGAGAAATGGGTGATGTGTATACATGCTAAACCTCCGGCCACATTTCTGGATAAGGAAGAGATAGCAGTGCATTGTGCAGATGGCCCAGAAAATAGGGCCAAATTTATTTTATCACCGTGTAAGTATTATGCTTTGTATGGATTCCTAGACTGCCATGAAGGCAGAGATTTTGTTCAGCAATACATCCCCAGCATGTAGGCTGGTGTCTGATATATAAGTGGGATTAATAAATATCTGTTATGTGGATCAAAACAAGCTAATCTATGGAAATCATTAATACACACAAAAGAAATTTGTACTGATAAACACTTCAATTAGTACTTTGGGACAAAATGATTTGATAATATGTCTAGACATACCTGACAGGCATCAGCTTTTCCTGACTTAAACACAGCACATAGCATTTTGTTGGTAACCAGACCAGATAATGAATGTGGATGATTGAAAACTTTGTTGTCGATAACCTTCCCAAAGGCTTCTTGAAGTATCGCTGGAAGAGGACCTAAAGGCAACAAATTCTGTGTATCACGGGGATCTTAACCTTGGTTGTAGAGACAAAGAATATCTATAGAATATTCTTTTTTTTTTTTTTTTTTTTGGTCAGCAAGAACCAGGCCAGTCCGAGGGTAGATTTCTCCCTTTCTGGTGTTTATTGTAACTGGCTACCTCACACATAATTCCAATTTTTCCACTTCTTATTCCCAGAGTCATTTTAGGAATTGAAGACAATGCCAAGTTTTTGGTCCCAACACTTGTTTGTTTGTTTGATTATATTTAGTGACTGATTAATTGCATGAGAGAGTGGTTGATTGGCTAACTGATTGACTGCTTAAATAATTATTCCCATGAAGCTATTACCCTTTTACAGAAAAACTTACCATTCATAAAGTCTTCCCGTCCGGTAACTACAACACTGGCATTTTCCGGAAGCTTCATTTTGGCTTCAGGAAGACAAATCCTGCGAACCTACTTTGTAAAAGAGACTTCTTCAGGGGCTCCTGGGTGGCTCAGTTGGTTGAGCAGCCAACTTTGGCCCAGGTCACGATCTCACGGTTTTTGAGTTCAAGCCCCACGTCGGGCTCCATGCTGACAGCTCTGAACCTGGAGCCTGCTTCGGATTCTGTGTCTCCCTCTCTCTCTACCCCTCCCCCACTCATGCTCTGTCTCTCTCTGTCTCAGAAATAAATAAGCATTAAAAAAAATTTAAAAAAAAAGAGACTTCTTCAGCAAGCTGTACAAGGACAATATCATTAAAAACCACAGCCCTGCTGTAATTTTCATGAAAAATAATGTTTTGGACTTTCGGTGTCATATATGGTTTATTTACTATAGTTCCAAAGTTGACAGTCCAATCTCCTGAATTATTTTTCCTGGAAAACACAATTTAATTAAAATATATGTAGTTTTTGAGTGACAACAGTGTTCACTAGTGGTCATTATCTTATAAAGCGTTAGGCTCCCAACCAACACTAGAAAGCACCAAATTTTAATTTTTAAAGATGTCTTTGACATGGAGATGTTACAAATAAAATAGTTCAAAGGACAATTAGAGCTGTCAGCCTTCTGCAAATACTCCTAAGTAGAGTCACCGATGTCTTCTGCTACTAAAGCCCCATCCAGTTCCTGAGTATTCGACTTAAGTGGGAGTCATAGAAGCAGCCTCAATGGATGGGGTCCAGAATCACGTAGTGCCAAACACCCGGATTCCATGAACCTACATCTTTGTCCATAAAAAATTGCCACTTGTTCTCACCCAATTACCCTATTATGTTTACCAAGTCAACACATCTTGACTTCTAATTTAAATTTTCTGGTCATTTCTCCAGTTCCCCACTGAAACTCTTTCTCAATTTAAGACATAACATACTGTCTAACTATTCTCACTTTCCCTCAAAATGTCAGGTGCTGTTTTCTTTTTTAATTTTAATTTCTAAGAACTTCATATAATGGTGACATTGTTCAATCCTTCTCCCGTTCAATAACCTTCAATGACTCCACACTCTCAATGTGTTTCTTAAACTCAACTCCCTTAGAATTAATTCAGGCTTCACCTCTTGAGATTTATATTTAAAAGGTCTGGTGTGATGCTTAAAGATCTATACTTTTAACAAGTCCCCTGGGTAGTTCACGATCCATGGACTACTGTTTGAAAATTGCTTCAGAAACACAAATCCTGCAAACATGCTTTGTAAAAGAGATCTTCAGGAAGTAAGCATCTTGTCAATTAAAGACATGCCCAATCAATATAACAAATGTTCTGAATATATTTTCTAATAATGTTTTCTTTCTTTTGATTTAACTTTATTTTTTATTTTTTAAAATTTACATCCAAATTAGTTAGGATATAGTGAAGCCATGACTTCAGTAGATTCCTTAATGCCCCTTACCCACTTTGCCCATCCCCCCCC